TGATGAAATTTCTGCAATAATACCTTTAACGTGTTTTTCTTCGTTTGTACGTTGCTGAACGATGACGTATCAAACGGATGTGACATGGCGAAATATTTACAGTCTTTGCTGAACCCTGTTATAGGTAGTTTACAATTCATTTAAAAGATGCTCAGTTTTCTTGGAGATCAAGTGTACGTGGTAATACTGTATGCTATTACTGACCCTCCTGCCGCCATAGATGAAACAGGTATATTCGGCGAGATAATGTTTTGCTGTAACTCTTGACTAGTTCGTTCCGATGTTGGCGATTATCCTGAAAATAACATAAAACAATTCGGTCAATCAGATGATTAATCAATACCGGTGTTTCGACCGTATCCCATCGGCCTTTTTCAACGTAGAAGGTTAATCGATTTCAGAAGTTTCCGTAATTAGCAGCTGTTAGCAACTTTTGGAACTGAGAGGTGAGCTTCTTTTCTGTACTATCAGTTAAGTACTGTTTCAGCAACAGACGCGCGAAAGGATACGAACTCTGTGCTGTTTGAATAAGGCTTTTCGTACCTGTCACCAAAATCTACTTAACCTTGTCTATGTTTAAGTATGGACCGAAAATTCGCCAGCTGGTTCCAAACATATGGACCGCTGCACAATTACAGTATGTTCCAAACTCAATCCACCTCAATACCTTGAAAAAGGCTAGTGAGCCACCGTTCAAAACATCGGTAACGTTAGACCATTCAACTCACCAAATTCTTTAGAGTTATGTCTAGATAAACCATTTTTTTCTTAATACCGTAAATGTTTCCTTGATTCGCAAGGACATTAAATAAATTCAATTGTAATTGTTTCGGGCATCATTTTTTGTTATATTCATATCGGTTTTATTTAGTGTTTTCAGCAGTCGCGAATCCACAAAATAATTACAGTATTGAAAACAACACGAAATAGCCCAACAAGTCGCAACAACCAACCCAGAATAAGAAACGACGTAGCAAATTTTGTTGCCTGTTTTTATTAGTTTTCAGTTTATTTGTCACTGGAAAAATTCTCGGTCTTAATGTCAACATACTTCGTCCTATGGCCAATTGCACTTTCAACGGCCGCGACTAACTGAGAGACATCGAAGTAAATCTTCGTTGCTTCTTAATACTATTTGAGCTGCTTATGGGTCGATGTTATTCCTTACCAGTGTTCATTCATAAGCATCGTCATCGTCTTTGCATTCGCACTTCTGGCATTTGTTGCAAACTTACTGTAAGACCGTCATAAATAGACATGCAGACTTCAGAGA